ATTTTAGTATTTGTCTCTACAGGATACCAGATATTTTTCTCTACAAAACCTAAATGTTAATCAAGTTTTATAAAATTTGGCTTTCATAAAAGCTGCAAGAATTCTTAATTGTCAGTAATAAGATCAATATCACTACCTTGCTAGGGGCCATTAAGTTTATATCGTTAAAGTTACAGAGTAATAGCACTAGCAGTGATTATAATTAGTAAATCACTTTTTTTTTAAAAATATATACTGACAAAATTTAATTAAATCCTATATATGAATATGATAATGTTTCATAACTATGATAGTTCAAATTCTATAAAGGCATGCTGTCCCCAAGCAGATAAATAAAAGTATTTAGCTTCTGAATATCTACGTAATTCAATTAATGAATCAGCTAAAAAGAAATTAAAGATTAATTTACCTTTATGGTTTAATCTAAGAGCGGTAGGATTTATTTTAAGTGCTTGTTCAAAATTTGAGAGTGCATCCATGTGTTTTTCTAATGTTTGTAGGATTAAACCTGAATAAAAAATATCATTACCTTTGTTTTCAAAAGCATAATCAGATTTAGGGTTAATAGATATTGCTTCATTATAACATTCAATTGATTCTTAGTATAGATTTAATTTGAATAATGCATATCCTATATAGTAATAATATATGATAGATTACCCTTGGTATTCCACGCATCAACATCCTTAGGGTTAATATATATTACTTCATTGAAACATTTAATTGCTTCTTCATATTGATTCAAATTATATAGTGAGAGACCTAAATATTCAAATTTTACAATTATTTACCCTTGCCAATCCATGCATTGAGATATTTAGGGTTAATAGTTAATGCTTCATTGTAACATTCAATAGCTTCTTCAAATTGATTCAAATTGTCTAATGTGTTACCTATATAATAATATATATTAATAGATTACCCTTATTATTCCATATATCAACATTTTTAGGGTTAATAGATAATGCTTCATTGTAACATTCAATTGCTTCTTAGTATTGATTCAATTTGTCTAACGTGTTACCTATATAATAATATATATTAATAGATTACCCTTGTTATACCATGCATAAACATATTTAGGGTTAATAGATAATGCTTCATTGTAACATTCAATAGCTTCTTCAAATTGATTCAAATTGTCTAATGTGTTACCTATATAATAATATATATTAATAGATTACCCTTATTATTCCATATATCGACATTTTTAGGGTTAATAGATAATGCTTCATTGTAACATTCAATTGCTTCTTAGTATTGATTCAATTTGTATAATGCACGACCTAAAATTAATGTTAGCAATTAATTACCCTTATTTTTCCAAAAATCATCACATTTAGGGTTAATAAATATTGCTTCATTGTAACATTCAATTGCTTCTTAGTATTGATTCAATTTGTATAATGCACGACCTAAAATTAATATTAGCAATTAGTTACCCTTATTATTCCAAACAGTATCAGATTTAGGATTCATTGATATTGCTTCATTGTAACATTCAATTGCTTCTTAGTATTGATTCAATTTGTATAATGCATGACCTAAAATTAATATTAGCAATTAGTTACCCTTATTATTCCAAACAGTATCAGATTTAGGATTCATTGATATTGCTTCATTGTAACATTCAATTGCTTCTTAGTATTGATTCAATTTGTATAATGCATGACCTAAAATTAATATTAGCAATTAGTTACCCTTATTATTCCAAACAGTATCAGATTTAGGATTCATTGATATTGCTTCATTGTAACATTCAATTGCTTCTTAGTATTGATTCAATTTGTATAATGCATGACCTAAAATTAATATTAGCAATTAGTTACCCTTATTATTCCAAACAGTATCAGATTTAGGATTCATTGATATTGCTTCATTGTAACATTCAATTGCTTCTTAGTATTGATTCAATTTGTATAATGCATGACCTAAAATTAATATTAGCAATTAGTTACCCTTATTATTCCAAACAGTATCAGATTTAGGATTCATTGATATTGCTTCATTGTAACATTCAATTGCTTCTTAGTATTGATTCAATTTGTATAATGCATGACCTAAAATTAATATTAGCAATTAGTTACCCTTATTATTCCAAACAGTATCAGATTTAGGATTCATTGATATTGCTTCATTGTAACATTCAATTGCTTCTTAGTATTGATTCAATTTGTATAATGCATGACCTAAAATTAATATTAGCAATTAGTTACCCTTATTATTCCAAACAGTATCAGATTTAGGATTCATTGATATTGCTTCATTGTAACATTCAATTGCTTCTTAGAATTGATTCAATTTGTATAATGCATGACCTAAAATTAATATTAGCAATTGGTTACCCTTCTAACTCCATGCTTAAGCATATTTCTGGTTAATAGATATTGCTTCATTATAACATTCAATTGCTTCTTTATTTTGTTGCAACTTTCTTAATGTATTACCTTTAAAATAATATTTATAAATGAGTTACCCTTATTACTCCATAAATAATCAGATTTCGGGTTGATAGATATAGCTTCATTGAAACATTCAACTGCTTCTTGATATTGTTTCAAATTTTATAATGCGCCACCTAAATAATAATATTTAACACCAAAATACCCTTGTTATTCCATGCATCAACATCTTTAGGGTTAATAGATATAGCTTCATTGTAACATTCAATAGCTTCTTAGTATTGATTTAAATAATATAATGCGAGACCTAAATAATTATATTTAACACCAAATTACCCTTGTTATACCATACATCAACATATTTAGGGTTAATAGATATAGCTTCATTATAACATTCAATTGCTTCTTTATATTGTTGCAACCTTCTTAATGCAATGCCTATAGAATAATATTTAGCAATTAGTTACCCTTATTATTCCAAAACTAATCAGATTTAGGGTTAATAGCTATTGCTTCGTTGTAACATTCAATTGCTTCTTAAAATTAATTCAAATTTTCTAATGCAATGCCTAATTATTAGAATTGAATATAGTTTATACCCTTCTAATTCCATGCTTAAGCTTATTTCGGGTTAATAGATAATGCTTCATTGTAACATTCAATAGCTTCTTCATATTGTTTCAATTTTTTTAATGTGTTACCTATATAATAATATTCATAAGTGGATTACCCTTGTTATTCCATGTATCAACATCTTTAGGGTTAATAGATATAGCTTCATTGTAACATTCAATTGCTTATTCAAATTGATTCAAATTGGATAATGCATCACCTATGTAGTAATAATAAATGATAGATTACCCTTGCCATTCTATGCATTAAGATATTTAGCGTTAATAGATATTTCTTCATTGTAACATTCAATTGATTCTTAGTATAGATTTAAATTGAATAATGAGAGACCTAAATAATAATATTTAACACCAAATTACCCTTGGAATTCAGTGCATCAACATATTTAGGGCTGATAGATAATGCTTCATTGTAACATTCAATTGCTTTTTCATATTGATTCATTTTTTGTAATGTGTTACCTATATATAATATTTATTAATAGATTACCCTTATTATTCCATATATCGACATTTTTAGGGTTAATAGATATTGCTTCATTGTAACATTCAATAGCTTCTTGATATTGATTCAATTTTTGTAATGTGTTACCTAAATATAAATATTTAATTATTAATTACCTTTGTTGCACCATGCATAATCATATTTAGGGTTAATAGATATTGCTTCATTGTAACATTAAATTGCTTCTTGATATTGATTCAAATTAAATAATGCATCACCTAAATATTAATATTTAATTAGTAATTACCTTTGTTACACCATGCACTATCAAATTTAGGGTTAATTGAAACAGCTGCATCGAAACATGAAATTGCATCTTGATTTTGATTCAATTTTTTTAATGCATAACCTAAATATTCCTATTAAACAATTAACTACCCTTTCCATTTTATGCAAGATCATATTTCGGATTAATAGAAATAGCTTTGTCGTAACAATTAATTGCTTCCTGATATTGATTCAATTTGGTTAACGCATTAGCTATATATATACTTATATTTAACAATTAATTACCTTTATTATACAATACATGAGCATATTTAGGATTTATAGCTATTGCTTAATTATAACATTCAATTGCTTCTTAGCATTGATTCAAATTATATAATGCATCACCTAGATATTATAATATTCAACAATAAATTACCTTTGCTATTCCATACATCAACTTATTCAGGGCTAATCAGCATTGGTTCATCATAGCATTAAATTACTTCTTAACACTATTTCAAATCTGCTAATGCAATACCTAAATGTTGACATTTAACAATAAATTACCCTTACCAATCTATGCATCAACATTGCTTGGGTATATAGTAATTGCTTCATTCCAAGATGCTTCTTGATGTAGCTTCAAATCTGATAATTCATCACCTAAATATCATTTTTAAACAATTTACTACCCTAATCATGCTACACTTTATCTTCTTTAGGATTAATAGAAATAGGTAAAATCATAAAAATTATAATGAAAATTCATTAAACACATTAATATATCTAACATTTATTTAATGTTATTTAATAAATTAAACATAATATTTTAATAAACTCAATTAGGTGTAAGATTGACATGTTGTGTTAGGTAATACTGACTTTGCATTATTTTTAACCTTTTAATCAGATTAAATCCTATTTGCGTATTATGTTTGATAATTGAATATTCAAACAAAACAGACTTACAATCTGAATCAATGCTATTTGTTTTGTAAACTCAAAAGTCATCCTTTAGAATTGAAATAATGGTATTAGATCCTTATCTTAATAATTTACAAATACTCCTTTCAAAATTAAAGCTCTCAGCTATTTTTTAAAATTGAGAGATGTTAAAGTGGCAATTTAAACTAAGAAATAAGGTCTTTGTAACAATTATCTTGAGGTAGAATCTCTTGGGCTGTCTCAAAATCCAATATACAGATAGAGTCATTTCCACTACCAGAATCAGATGGAGTACAAACGTGAGAGAATACCTGATTTTATTTTTTAAAGATATATATATGCCTGTATTTTTCTTTTTTATAGATAATTATTTATGCCTTAGGACAGCAATTTTTCAAAGAGTTTGGAACTAGATTGTTATAAGTATATTCATATCTACTAACAAGTCTCATAAGTTTAAATATCTACAATTAATTTTTTAATGTTGACCATCTAATTATTTCAAAGTGTTATTAATTGCATATTAAATTATTAGGGGTAAATTTTGAATAATCTTAGTATTTTACCTGTTCTTCTATTAAATAATTTATTTGTCATTTTTTTTAAATGCCATGCAAGCTTTTATGATTTATAGGATCAATCATAAATAATGATGTATTTCTTATTCCAACCAATTCTTTTGTTCTCATTCAACAACACTAAAGATTTTTAGTTAAGGTACTTGGAATACAGAATAATCTATTATTTCCTTCTCTTTTTTGATAATTAAAGCATCCAATATAAGCATAAGAGCTTTACTATCAATTTATTTGTTTTACTTATAAGTTCAATTATTCGAATTATAAACTTTCCTTTTTCTTCTTTTATATTCTTTTCTACTTTAATTTTCTTATTAATCAATTCTTAAATACAACGTTTGATTTGCAATCAACTTGGTTAAAATAAAAATTGAAGATATTTGAATAGCAGAACATTATTGCAGATCATTTTGATGTATAGATCCGAATTAAGGAATCAGAATTGAGTATAAGGCTTAATCTCTTTTGTGGTTTAGAATTTCTTAGTTCATCAAATTCTCTTGTGGAATCTCATTCTTATTCAAAATCTTGCCACTCTCTAATGCAATACAAAACTCTCTAAAATTCTCTGTCTCTATGGAATGACTCTCAAATTAAGAAAATTCTTCTAATTCATAAAAGCTGCAAGAATTCTTAATTATCAGTAATAAGATTAATATCACTCCTTGTTAGGGGCCATTAAGTTTATATCGTTAAAGTTATAGCACTAGAAGTGGTTGTATTAGAAAATCACTTTTTTTTTTAAATATATACTACAATCAACATAATTTACCCTTGCCAATCAAAGCTAAATCATATTTAGGATTCATAAAAATAGCTTCATTAAAACATTAGTTTGCTTCTTGAAATTGATTTATATCACCTAAACTGTAAGTCGACATAAATGAATTGATAATGTGGATACTAAATATGACA